TAATATACTATAATATAAAATGTAATAATTAATAATAATATTATAATATACGAGTATATACATTTATTTTTTATTTTTTTTGGCAACATGAGATTTGGTAAAATAAGATTCGGCGAAATGGGCCTAAATCATTCATAGTGTATCCTACCTATAACCTAACATAAACGTATATATTCTTTAACTATTCCAAAATGCATTTGAGATATTTATCTGCTTATATAATATAGCTCTACTATTWTACATATTATTTAAGCTTTATAATTGAAATGATTAATATCAATATTTAGGTAGATATAAATATACATTCAACTCACTTGTCTCTGCCATTCGTTTCTGGTCTCGGCGATCTTTTGATAAGTGTTGCCCATCATGGCGATTAACATGTTCACCAGCAATATGGCCACGATTACCATGAAAACTATAAAGCAAAACTACGTTTCACGCGGCAAACGTAGTGTGTAGAAAAGAGTTAAAAACACACGCACACACATCTACACACACACACATACATACACACACTGCACACTCACACACATGCACGCACACGTCAACAATATGGGGTACACCGTAATATTTTAATAAAATACGGAGTGATTCATTGAACTCTCAAATCGCCACAATTATTTTTACGTAAATTTTATTGCTTTAATAAAAATGTATCTATATACGGATTGAAGTATTATTATTATTATTATTATTATCGAGGCACACGGGCAGCTAGTTATTAGGTATAACATAACAATATTCTTCTGACATTTTATTCATATTATAATTTTTTTGAAAGGGGGTGTTTAAAAAAAATATATATATAATTTAAGGCATGCTTTTAATTTAATTATATCGATACCTAGCAGAATAGTTTTCTAAATATTTTATTTACATTAGTAGCAGATATACTACTATACCTATAGGATATTATTAATCGTGTTTCAGTAATAAGCATTTAAGGTTGTAATAAATAAGCTTTGTAAAATTACCCGGGTATACTGTAAAATAAGTGGTCCGCCAATCAATAATTTATTAATGAAAATAATAAAAACAATTTATTTAGT